TGGTTTTTACGTAGGCATCCCATTCTAATGAGCAAGTAATTAATATCACTGCCCGGTTTCGTTGTACCGTTTTATTAGTTAAATTAACTTTAATGAAAATAGCTCTATAACATCTTTCCCAAGGGACGTTAACAACGGTTGGCTGAATATAAACATTAAGTAACACGCAAATCTCGTCTGATAATATCGTAATTTACTGCAATGCTTAATACAAGTCCACAAATTATCATAACCAAAACAAATAAGTGGGGAGCGAATGGGAGGTTGGAATGACGAAAAAATAGGTTTGCTTATTTCTTCTTTTATGTAGGTACAAAAAACAGAAAAAAGGTTCTATTCAATTTTCTGAATTACTGACTAAAGCCTCATTACTACTATTGTACATACACCAGTACTAAGCTCGATATTCACGGTTGGTTAAACTGATCCGTTGAACGTTGTACATATAAAACGAGGGAGGCCTTTGTCCAGCAGTGGACTTTATTTGGCTAAAACCAACATTAGCCTATGATGGCTTATTCCACTATTCCCCGTTAACGCCGCTTATAATGGGGAATAATGAACTAAAAAGTTCATTAATCCCCGTTATATTAGGATTTTATTTTGAACGTAATGGGGTTTAATGTGAACAAAAAGTTCACTTATCTCCGTTGACGGGGATTGTCAACGGGAAATAGTGGAATAAGCCATTATGGGCTTTATGATGTCGCACACACGGTCAAACTTTGGCTGTACCTACATTACTTCAACTCATCCGTTTAACTGACCGTGTGTGTCCAGCTTTATTAAATTTAGTGCTACCTATTACTTCACCTGAGAATGCAAAAAAGGACCGCAGGCAGAACTTTATTTGCTTTAATGAAAATTTCTATTCCCCAAACCGATACGTGTCTGTCATTGGAGGTCGCTCTATATTATAGCCGCCCTAGGGGGCGCTGTTTAATTTTTCATACAAAATTTTTCGATGACACTTTGAATACGCAACGAAACGAACTCGAAAGTTTTTCGTACTAGAGGTACAGGAAGAATTGTTCGTGCTCTTTAGCGCTTCTTAAGGAATGCTTATATGAGTATTTAGCATTGGACTGTGTAGATTGGCGATTTGATGATAAATTAATTAATTATACAGTTTAGCTATTCTATCCAGATTTCCGCCTAATAGTTAGCAAGCAATTCTCTAAGATGTGGTCTAACTAATTAAAACATTGTTTGCTAGTTTTGAATTTATTAATTATACATTTGACCAAGTTCACGGGCAAATGGTTGTTCATATAACTATCAAAGACAAATTAACTAACAAAGCCATGCTTTGTCTTATAAAGCTGCGGATGACAATCTAAGCTCGCTTTAACGTTCATAATTACTATTATATTATATTCATTAAGATTAGATTCGCAATTAATAACCATGATGAATAGTTACCGTTTTAGACTCTTAGATAATTGTTCTCAAATTCATTGAGATTCAGAATTCTGTGGTTCTTACATCACAGCTTGTATCAATGGATAGTTCAAACCTTTAACCAATTTAGACACAACTTATCCCGTTGTTCCAATTTGAAAAGCAATAAAAGCCTTAACATTAATACCTAAGTAGATTTTCTTTTTTGCGTATCAAACGCGCAAGGTACAAGTCCGTAGGTACTTAAGAGCGTTTACGTCTAGCGTGGCATGTCAAGTTTAGGTAATTTCGATGCTATTTTTATTCACACTAAAATAATTATGACTGTGTGCGTGTTCTCACGCTCTATAGTCAAACCAAAATATTTTGATCCACCATCGTAAAAGTGTACCAGGCTGTCAAGTGACAGCTCAAGGAAACTATAAAATCTTCAAATGTTCCAACACCGACTCCATAATTATAAATAATGGTATACATTAGTCCTAATCAATAATAAATACGTAAATTCTTTATCAAATAGTAAATTATCAAAGGTTTTTTACTATTTTGAGAATATTTTATACAGCCTATGTTCAGCAGAAAAAAAATTGAATTTTAATGGTGAGAGATTTTTTCAAATCGGTTCTATTCAAAACAAACTTTTCCTGTTTACTATTCTTTTTTTATCCGTAAAAGGAACATTTCATACCCACCAGCTGCGGGGGCAGCTAGTGGGTTATGTGGGGTTCTTCCTACCAGAAGGTGGGTAGCCCCTACACCCACTAAAAACCTGACTGTTTCTGCCATGATCCATATGAGTGATATGAGGGAACGCGGGACATCGCCATTGGCTGTTGCCTGTAACATTCGTCCTTAGCCGCCACCAGACACCTCCATGTCTAGCGACCGAGGCCTGTTAGGAAGGGACAGTTGGAGACCATAAGCTGTCCTCTTGCGCCCAGGGCGGCGAATAACCGGAGTGTCGGCTGAGGCCTCTCGCTCCCCCTTTCCACTGCTTCTTTCTGTGAAAGAACACTTTCACAGAAAGTGAGCACGCTGTACCATAAGATTATTTGTCTCATCATATATTTTATAGCCTGACCAGGAACATAAAAACCCTGGCAGGGCCGGATTAACCATCTCGGGGCCCCTAGGCACAGCTCGTTTCGGGCCCCCCTTTTTTTTGTCGCGGAGGAAATGCTTTGCGCACCGTCACTACTGCCGGGGGACAGGGTGGTGTGTGGGACTCCCGGCACCCTGAGAAGGGCACTGCTCCGTCCTGAAAAGGACGGGGTATACCTACCCACTCCTAAAACCTCCGCGGCGTTTCGTCATCGTCCAAGTGGGGGTGTCGCGAGTATCCGGCCGTAGCCTTAGACTTCCGCGACACCACCGGCGACAGCTCNTCAGGCTATATACTAATGTAGTTAATGTTTCCGAAAGCGAGCGGGTTCATTCCGTACCTGTACGCTTCATGCGTTCTCTAGCAAAAGCTGAAAATCAGTGTTCTGCCCTTTTGAGGGTAGTGTTTATACTGAGCTCTTTGCTTTTTGCATCGCTGCGGCACACATCACTCTGAGGAAGGGAACTATTTGAAACGCTAGTCATCTTTATCTTATGTTGTTTTGTCACTTTTGATAAGTTGCAACTGTTGAAATTATTACTAACCTGTGTAACAAAATACCAGTGGTGTCACCTAGTGTGTTTCTTGACTAACTAACTTTATTTCGATATTGAATTGAATTTGTGTGAATTTGTGTGTGTTAAAAGCATTAAAAAAAGTGTGTTACAACAAATAAACAATTTATCTATCTATTTTACGCCTCTTCCCGATTCGTAGGGAGAGGTCATTTCCAACCGCCGCTCGTTCGCTTAGGCTGGGCACTGTTGGAGCGTGTCAGTCTGCTGCGGTGACTCACGTGCCAAGACTGCAGTGTTACGTGACAATAATCTACAGGCTCTCGGCCTATACGGTGGAGGAATGGCCCGAAGCATCTGCATGGCAAGTCTACGGTCTATGTCATGATACGGGGGGGGGGGGTTGTCTTTCAATCTTCGAATCGTTAGGTAACCTTGGGGTTACTAGGGTTTTGGAACCCTGGGGGGGTACCAGGGGGTGCCTTAGGACTTATAACGTGGGGGGGGGGGGGGGGTCTCCCCGGGTGCCAACTAGGGCATGCAAAAACCGAGCGGTTTGGAAAAACCGGTTTTTTCGGTTTTTATTTTTAAAAACCGAACTAAACCGGTTTTTTCGGGTTTTTCGGGTCGACTGTTTGTAAGTAAATAAAAATGCTGCAAATTACAATAAAAATAATTTTATTTCTTTTGTATTCTAGTTTGACAAGATGAAGTTACATGTTCTGAACATAATTAAAAATCAAATATAAAGAGATCAACAATAGGATACTTTGCTCATTAGCAAAGCAAAACCTTTGGTCAGGACTTCTTGGCGGGAATCTGTAGCGTCATGTTAGCGGTTTTGTTTTATTTCCTCAAATTCGTGTGTGGGCGACTATTAATGAGTAATAATGGTGGATTATTAACCATTGAGTGTTCGTGAACGTCCATGGGTGTGGGCAAGAGAAGCAAAACAGTGCATCGTGATTCTTCTGGTTCTCTCAAGTTGTCCATAATTTCCATAGGAGGTCTCAGTAAAGCACCACAACTTTACTGAGACTCAAAGGGTGGGAAAGGGTATCATCTATCATCCTTCATTATATCATTACTTGATCTCATTTTGTAACTCGTATCACTTATATACTTGAAAATGGCACAAATCAAGTCGACCTCGACGTGTATTGCCAACATCATCAAAATAGAAGAAGAACATTTGGTCATAGTTATGCATAATTAAATAATATGTAAGTTGACACTGACAGAGACTAGCAAAGCAAAATGGCGGCAATGGTCAAATACAAAGCGCGTTCCATTTTGCGCCCGCGCGCTTATAGCTTTAGCTAGAAGATACTCATGGTACTTTAGTTCAATACCATAGCCATAGACTATACTCTACTCATTCACATTGCATTACAATATTGTTTTTATTGATATGACTAAAGAAGCATGTTTTTGTATGAGTTATTAAATTATCTAAAATCGTAGCAGAAAAACCGAAATAACCGAAAAACCCGGATTTATAACTGACAAAAACCGAGTTTCAAATTGTGTCGGTTATCCGGTTAACCGGTTTGCATGCCCTAGCCAACCCATGCTACGCCGCCACTGTATTCAGGCATCAAAGCCCGTTTATGTAACTTACAAGAAAAAGAAGTAGATAAGTAACTACTTTGAGAGGCGATTCTGCCGAACATTTTACTTATTTCAAAACAGGACAAGAAATTGAAGTAGGTATTTACTTATTTCAAATAAACACATCCTTCGAAACCAATTTAACGGACCGGCAATGATTAGGGATAAGGAGATAAAATTATATGAAATCACACCACAAGCGGAATAACCAAATTACTTATGCTAGTATCTAGATACAAATAAATAGACATTAAGTAGGTAAAGAAGGAAAATGTAGTACCTGAATCTTTAGGTTTAAATACAGCTGTAGCATCTTCTTTAATCATTCGTAGACTTCACGCTTCAGTGATCAAGTCAATTCCTGATTGCTTTATCAAATAATCCAACATGAAGTTCTCGGCTTTTCTCATGGTGGTGATGGCAGTCCTCGCAATGCTCTTCGGCGCTGGTCACGGTAATCCTGAGCCGAAGGTGCCAGTCAGGCAAATTGGCAAAGCTGTGGTAAGTGCATAGCAAAAAAATATTAGGATAGTCCCATAACATTTTGGCGCTAACAAAAACATGCGCAGAATGTTTTGATTCCCTTTCCATTATCAAAATAGATACCCACATCAAGGGACCATACCAATTTTTTTTTGTTTATTACATAATTTATTTTAAAGTAAGCACTTAACCAGCGCAAATCAACTTAATAATATGTAGGTACTTACAATAATTATCTTCATTGACTATTAAGTTAAGTATATCTCTACTACTACTCAGTAAAATAACACAACGATTTGAGTTATCACTTTTTGCGAGCCGCATACATTATTAAGTACTTAGTTTATTTTTAACTGTAACTCTGAAAGTTGTGAAAGAAAATTCTTCATAGTGAGCGTAGAATCTATTCATTTTTCTGTTTTCTTTTTCGTGAATCGTGAATTTTTCCATGGGTCTTTTAGATTTTGCGGTACGGTATAGTGTTATTTTATGAAGATTTTTCTCTTTTAGAAAACTGGATTTGGAATAGCTAGCGCAGCAGGCACTGCCCGTGACGTTTACGACCGCATCAGAAACCGAGGATAAATATTTTCAAATAAAAATAACATTTTCCTTTTTTTTTTGTTTTAGCAATACAGCTAAACCTTTAGGTACCATACAAACCTTTAGGGATTTATTCTGTTTTATAATAATCTCGAATACCATAATTAGGTAACATCTTTTAATAATAGTAAATACTTACGTGTTTTTACTTCAATAAGTGCTCTGAGGCACATCTGAGGGCTGAGTGTGAGTTCGAGCGCGTCAAAAAATGACGAATTGTAAAGCGCCCCTAGCGGGAAACGTTCAAAAACTAAAATTTTCATGATGTAAACTCACACTCAGCCCACTAACTGGTCTTTCAGGCTTCCAGCATACAACTTACCAGTGTAATATAATTTAATTCGCTTGCATAAGAAAATTAAAAGGAATGCTAAAACTAAAACCTAACGCACAAAATTCGTGCAACAGCCATTGTACAGACGACCATAGGAACAATGAAATAATACTGTGGCATTTCATATAATGGCAATAGGTGCTATTTTGCAACAAAAAATAAATCATGTAGGTACAGTGCGATTGTGCGACTGTACATTATTCAAGAAAGACTGGACTGTCGTCATAAAAAATAAAAAACAGCAAAAGGAGTTCACCCGTTGGTGGATTACACTTACAAAGCATGTTTTTTTGAAAACATAGATCTTTTTCCTTTGGTCGGAATTGTATTGTTAAGCGCATCTGCACTTATCAAGGCAGTAGTACCACAGATTACTACTTAATAAGTTACTGTAGTACTTACAACATAAACATAAAACAATTAAAAACTATCTTACGATACAAAGGCTGGCCTTTACCTTGGCCAACGCATCAGCCTTGCCATCCAGCGTGGCAATGTGGCCAGCCTTTTGGGCACCTTCCCCCAAGGTAGCGACTTAGATGAAATTTTTTATTTATAAAGCTTGTAGGTATATACATAATTTTAATTTTTACCCTTTTTTTATTTAGTTATAGTTTAGTTTAGTAGTTATTTGTTAACATTTAGTTGTATATATGTATAGATTATAGTCTTTTTCACCTAAGATGATTCGTATGACGTTTCGAGTTTGAAAGTTATAGAGATGTCACATAACTAAACCATAGCGATTTATCTATCGATTTTTTTCTAAGAGTTACTAAAACCTACTTTTAGAGAAATATTTTGTATAGGTGTTATTTAACAAAAACATGTTTTTTTTAATTACAAATATTATTTTAACAATTTTTTATTGGTAATATTCAAATTCCATGGACTTCGTGTTAAAAAAAACGATTCCTAAAAAGTACTGGTTCTGTTTCTTTAAATTAAAAACTATTAATTTATTTTCAATGCGTTTATTAAAGTCAACAATCGAAAAATATAGTTGATTTTTGTGATGTTTTTAATAACTAAGTATTCACTGCAATCGATTAATGAATCGCGGAAATAATCGATTTTGTTATACATCAAATACCTCAGCACTAAATCTATTCCGTTTCACACATTGCGTACATTAAATGTAAAATCTGAGTCTATTGATTATATTTCGATTAAATACGACGCAAAAAATATTTTTGCGTCGTATTTAATCGAAATATAATCAATAGACTCAGATTTTACTATATATTTCAAGACAAGTAGTTATTTTTTTTTTTTTATTATATTGCTAATAAAATACAAATATTTTTTCAAAAATATTCTGCATATGTAGTATGCGTAATATGGATAACTTTGAAGTGTCATACGGATCATCTTAGGTGAAACCGTTGTGGCTAAACGCAAACCGCGAAAGTCAAGAAAAAAAAAAAATCTTAGGTGAAATGAACTATAGTGATTATTAATTAATAGACAGCATGTTATTAATAAAGATATTTTCTAACAGAAAAAAATTCCTTCCGAGTTTAATAGAATTTCTATGTCAGTGTAACCGAACACTACCTGCGGTTACGGGTTCGATACTCCGATTCATCACCATATTAATGTTTTATTAACTACATAGTTACTTACCTTAAAGTTCAGAATATCCTAAATAATTTTGTTTTTAGAGATGTCTTTATTACTATTACTTATAATTATGATAACATTCTAAAATATCTATAAACCGCGTCGGTTACGAATATTTCGATCAACTTTCCCTATGAAACGAACAGAGAGATCTCTGATCCTTGCTCACTTAACTACTTAGGTAGAAGGAAATTATATTACCTACTTACAACATAATATTTATGTTTGTGCACAAAAAGGAAAGTTTCAACAAAAAGATAGGTTTTAGTGAGAAATTTTGTTGTAACTTGTATGTGTTTGTGAGTTCTTCCAAACTTTCTGGGTTGATAAAGTGAAAAGTCATGTTTAGGAACTTTGAAAGTAGTAAAGAATTTATTTTCATATAGTTTTTAGTCTATTACATTAAGAATTATGTTTAACATAAAATATTGACGTTGACAATCCATGTTTAGGGTGGAAAAGATTTAACTATCATTAAATTATAAATAGGTAAAAAAATTAAAGAACAGTAATAAATTATATTATTTTATCCTCGATTCTTGATGTTGGTGTACACTTCGTGGGCTGTGCCTGCCGCTCCAANTGGAGACGTACACAAATATTGACGCAAATGTAATCGTGCATGACATACGTAAAGTAAAAGTCAAGTAAGACCAAATGAATACAAATATTATTAATTTTATTTTGAACTAGCTGACCCGGCGAACTTCGTACCGCCTTAGCGTAGAGATTTTCTTAATATTTTTTTCCGTAAGAACCATCCTTGGACTTCCACAAACATTTAAAAAAAAGAATTATCGAAATCGGTTCAGCCGTTCACACGTGATGCCGTGACAACGCGAAACGGGTTTCATTTTTATATATATAGACTAGCGGCCGCCCGCGACTTCGTACGCGTGGACCTCGTTTTACTCCTTAGTTCGTAAAATATGTTGTTTGATATCATGTTGATAGATGGCGTTTCACGGCTTCCCCGCATGAATATTTACGAACGTCAAAAACAGTAGTTTGTCCAGCGCTGTAGATTTTAACCAATGACGATAGATTGCGCTTTTTAGACACCTTATTTATTTATTGAAATTTATTTGTCACATAATTATCGTCATAAATTATAGCCTATAATTATGTTAATCTGGTTTATAAACAATAATACTGTAAAGTTTCAACAAAATCCGTTCAGTAGTTTTTGAGTGAAAGAGTAACAAACATCCAGACATCCAAACTTTCGCATTTATAATATTAGTAGGATTGTTATACGTCGCCACTAATGACAATTTTTTTTCCCATTTATCCTCAGTAGGGACATAGTCAGTGTCCACAACCGGGAATAGACGGACTGCGGATACTATGCGGTATCCACGAATTACCTCAGCCTGTGCCTCAGTGATATCATGCGTTGCGCTTTTTTGAACAGTAGGATGCTCCACGACTACACAGCACTGTGCCATACTCGAGCCCCATATAGGACCATATAACGCGCGACGCAAAAGTATAGTCAGCGACTCAGTGCGGCCGGGCCTCCGAGATTAGGCATCAACCGGCTTAGTGCGCCGGCGGTAGCCAAAAGCTTAGGGGTGAGACGAATTGGTGAAAAAATCACTTTGATTTTTGGGTATTTCACGTTCTTTTAATTTGTGATTTTTTATTGTAAAATGCTTAAATCTAAAAATTTTCTCAGATAACTATTTGCCCAAGGATCTATGCTATAGGATATAAATGTTTGTTAAATCGTTTTACAGTACTTTTATATAAATTTCAGCTTGTAAACTGACGCTAAAGTGGAAATTTACAAAACCTGTGTGGACTTATCTTGATAGAATTCTTAAATGCTAAACTAATCGCAATATTTTCTCAATTAACTATTTAGACGACGAAATTGCCTAACTATTTATGCCTATAACATATTTGTAGTATTACTGGTTAATGATTGTAACGAGTTGAAAAAGTACTGTTTTTGCGCCAAACGGCGTAAACGCTCTTAAGTGGAAAACTCTCGACAGAAATTCACAGTATCGGAAATACGATGAAAGATCTATTGCATATTGTCGCGTCGACAGGCTCTCGAAAATTTCAAAGCGAGTCAGCTTTTAGAATTGCCTATAAAATGAGATGTCTGCGGCAAACATCAGATTATTTTCCGAGTAAAGCACTTTGAATCTACCTGAGTATAAAAATATTGAAGTTTTCTTTGAAAGTTAAAATGCGTTGTAGGCTAATACCAACAGTCGTTTCGCCGACGCAAAACGGTGGAAGTAGCAATAAATACGAAACGCCCAAGTTTTCAAGTACCACTGTTTGTCAAAAATTGTTTGTAGAGAACACTCTTTATTGTTGCCGCAATTTTGTATTCTGCCGGTGAAGATTGCTCAAAAAGAAAAGGTATTGGTTATACACGTAAATTGCTTGAGTGCCTCAAAGCGGGCGTTTGATTTTTAACGATAAAAAAGTCTTTTTGCGCCTTCATATTTGTAATGGAATCAATTTTCGTAACGATTGTTTGTTTCTCTTTAGAACGAAGTTGATGTTTATCGACAAAAAGCTTTTTAACCGACTTCATTATGTTTATTGAGCGTCTAATTAATAGGCATCCCAACCGTAAAAATACGGATGTACATAAAACAAAATGTGGTATGAAGAGGAAAAAACACAAGTTTCTTTTCTCCTCAAATCGTATTTGTTTGTACTCTTCTTATTTTTTTCCTGTTTTCTGAATAAGATAGTCAAATGTAATTTTGCAATCTATTTATATAGGCTCATGTCGAATAGCAGTTTCAGTTATCTGTAAAAGTAATATACACTTATGTTTTGGAGCTTCTTTAGAGATATTCGTAAGTAGTATGTAGGTATCGAACTCGAGATCTCAGAAAATACTTTAGGTACCTTCTGTTTGTCAGATAAACCCCCCAAAAAGAGCTGCAATAGGTGAAGAAAGTCCGACTAATTATGGAGAACATTTAATTTTATGTGACAGATCGTTCATTAGTTCAAGACAGAAATGTGTCCTTTACAAGATTTCAACCAGCAACCATCATACAACAGTCCACTAGGCCAGACGGCCGTCATGCGTCGTCATGCGTCATGAGAAAAAGGCAATAATAAGTAGGTAATATCAAATGATTTATTATCAGTGAGCCATCATAAATTACCATAAGACTGCTTTATTTAATCTACCATGTCACAGACAGGTACCATATTTCTTTTTTATCTTGAGTTATAGCAGCGTGCTCAGTGTGAAGTCGCCTGGGAGGGGGCGATGGCGTTTGTCATGCAACAGGTGAAAATTTAATTTAGACCTCTGCTTCTCTTTTGTCCGCAGAGATAGAAATCAGCACCGAGTAATTAGAGCAGAGTATTACTCTGTATCAATCTTTAAAACATCAATCTTTTAAACTGCGATCTCCAACCCGCCTGCCAAGCGTGGAGATTATGGCAAAACCCTCCACTATAGTGGAGGAGGCTCATAGTCCAGCAGTGGACTGTAAAGGGCTGTTGATGATGATGATGATTACTCTGTATATTATTTTCATTTATAAAATATTCATCTACTGTACTTGGACCAAGACCCAAATAATGAAAGTTGACGCAACAGTCAGCTTCTCAATCTTCATTCTATGGATGCCAACCACCGGCCTTTAGGGACACTATATTATTCATGGTATCATCCCGTATCCCACGTCAAAAGGTTTATATTATTCGGACTGTAATATTAAAGTAAAAGGACTAGGAATGTCTATGAGACGTCAATTTTTATCTTCTTAGTTTTTTCAGCTACTTTTGATTTCTTATCATGAACACATAAGTGGTCAAAACTTGCGGAACGATATAACTTCAAAATCTCTTTGTCCTGTGGCCTGTAAGGCGGTATGGTTTCAATTTTCTCCAACTTTAATACATCGACAAGATTGCGTATTGTCGACTTTATGTACATTAGCGCACGGGATTCTGTAGTTTTAGTGCGTTGGCTAATGGGCCATTGGCTAAGCACTGCGAATACTTGCCGATGATTGTTGCACACTTTGTGTTCTTCTGTATTCGTTTCGGCGTTCTTTTTCTTGACGCATGCATAGCAAACGGCTGTGCTGCGGTCCAATTGATCGACTTGTCGAACGCTTGTCGTTCGGCTCAGCTTTTTCGACACGGAGCCGGAGCCGTGAGTTTGAGTCGAAACATGCCGGCGCCTTGTAACGCCTCCCACCTGAATGCCCTCGGATTTCACGGTCGGCAGTTCACAAACTTTTTTGCTGTTGGAAATTGTCACGCACCCCGAATCATTTGCCTTGTTGCCAATGCTCTTACTCGACGAACTCGCAACGTTAAGAATGGGCTTTTCCGGTCGATGATTGCTGTTACATGCTGTGTAAACGTTTTCTTGTTTCTTAAATATGTGGCGGTGTATAACATTTATCAAATGTGGTGAGGGATCGTTGACGAGTTGTCCAATACCCCAGAGATATCCCGACATGGCTTTTATTAATTTACAAATAAAATCTTTGTTTACATTATTTTGTCACATGAGAAGACATTGATGTGAAAATGATTTATGTCGAAGCAATCAAAGTGTCATACTTATGTAATACAAGAAGTATCTAAACAAAATGTAGGTGTAGGTAGGTATTTGTGAAAGGTGAGTTTTACGTTAAGTTTTTGTAATAAAGTGAGAAATTACTAAACGGATACTGATAAAACTTTACCACTTGTATTCTTTTACTCTGACCCTCATTAAAATAGTAATAATACTCAAAAATGTTCTGCACAACTCTTAAAGTTATGGTGCAAAATATTTGATTTGATGTCAAACTTTCCCGAAGTATTCAATATTCAAGTAGGTACCAAGTTTGCGATAAAATTCGTCACTTGAAACTTGATAGTTCGGGAGTGAACGATACGATAAATAAGATTTTGGGTAAACTTCATTTTATTTAACCCTTTGCCCCACCAATTGAGCTGTAAAATGGGTTGCTATGTTTATTGTTCAATACCAGTGAGCGGACGCTTGCGGCTTTCTTCGCATAAATCTCATTTCTACCCCTGAAATTGAATTTTGGAATACTATTCCTTAGAAAATACCTTAAATCCAACGAAACGAAAGAACTAGGCTACGTTGTAAGTCACAGAAAAGGCGGTTTCAACGTGATTTAACATTTTGCTTTTTTTTCTGTAATTAGATATGAGAAGGAGCCACCTAGTTTGAATAATAATATTTAAAATGAAAGATGAATTATTATTAATAGTACTCGAAGGACGAAAATGAGTACCTATTTTATTATTAGTTTTGTGTTTCTTTTAATTAAGTACCGTAAGTTAAGATATTACCTACACAGTTTATTTCTCAGTTTCCAGGCGCCTCGGGATATTTTACGTGAGAGCGGGCACAAGACGGGGCACGTGCCATCCGGGATCAATGGGGCATTGACGAATTGCCCCGAGAAATAGTGGCGGCTAATGGGTTAACATTTCAAACCACTGATTTTCATTAATAAAACACCTTTTGTTGCCAGATAGTTATTGCTAAATTGGTTGTAAGCAAATGCATCTCACGCCCCCACCGGGGACGTTGTAGCTTATTATTTACCAGGTTGACAAGTCTCCAAATAAGAGAAATTGTTTGATCTTTAACAACGAACAAAACCTTTGATATGTTGATTGTGATTGTTTTGGCTTCATGTCATTTACCTTTTCCTTTTGTTTCCATTGGCTTTCTTGAAAATAAACGACTCAGTAACGACTTATTCATTGGCACCGTAATTTATTATTAAGAGAATAAAAGCGTAGATATCTAAGTTATGTTAGCTGCAAATTTTAGCCTTCGGCTGATGAGACACCGAAATTGAATATAATATTGAAGGTATGCAAGTGTGCGGGCTTCGGTAACCGATATTAAAATTGCAAGGGTTAGGTTGCTGAAAAGTGTGGGTCAATAGAGACAAGGGCCAAGGTAAACTAAAGGAAATCTCACGGGCGTGGACATTTTCCTGCCTTGGACCCTATTTTGTTACAGTTGGGGCTCTGTCAACACGCCTCGTTTCGCTGGTCATTTCCTTCTTTATGTACAGTGCACCCTTCGGGTTGATCAGAATTGAATAATCGGTGGAGCGCTTTGGACACGAGGTGGCTTCGAAAATAAAATATATGTTATGTTATTATGGTAATATTTCGAATTGCACGGGGTTTGGGTCAACCTTACCTTACCTTTATGTGGGCTGAGGTTCATTTGACTACATAACTTATTCTTTGAAAAAGAGATTGAAAAGCTTAATTAAAACATCTGGCAGTTATAAGGGTCGTAAGTTTAGGTAATTGAGGTCTTTGCCTCACGTTTAATGTTCTTTAATCTAAGTACTAATTCTCAGAATTAATTGAAGGTTATAACATAAAACAGTCTTAAATACATATTTGAATTAAAAAATATATTATTGACTATCAAAGCGGATTGTCTTAAATTTTCGCCAATTTCCGAAGTAGATTATTTAGGTACTTCTCAGTAATTGGAAGAAAAACCAAGACTTCAAAGTTCATTAAGTTAAACTGATTCGATGTCCGCAGCTCAACGGTCTTTGTTTCATTATAATTAGACGCGGCTTGTTGAACAAACTGTGGTATCAATTAAATGTGGGCGGCACAGTTCGCTTCACTTTTGATCTTCACTAAAAGGATTCAGCGTGAATGAGAATTACAAGGGAACAATTAATTGGTATGGATTTCGTTGTAATTAATGTTCAGAACAATTATTTAACTTCGTTTAAAGATTAAGCGCTGTTCGAGCGACGACAGTGGCGAGTTCTGATCCAACAAAAAATGTTGAACAGAAGCAGAAGAACGGAATAATCAATTTAGTTTTAATGGCAGAAAACGTACGCATATCTGGCTTTAGGGGGGAGAGAACTACCAGTGAACAATTAACAAATCACAAATAAATTCTTCAACTGATGGTAAACAAGGTAACTAACTGACATTAGTGCGATAGAATCAACAGTGGATTAGATGTACAAGACCGAACTCATTCAGTTACCGTTAGAAAAGGTCATAATGATTGAAGTGAACGTGTTAATAAGGTGAATGGTTTTCACAAAAATAAAACTCTGTTTCGTAATTTCAATTTCAATTCATAGGTTGCCTATATTCAGGCGCTGTAGAATGTTGTTCAACTTAACAAGCTCAGGCAAGGTAAAGTCTTCAAACCTTCAGCACAGTAATCCGGCAGATATCGATTGAATCTGTTAGGAAGTTGGCAAAGTTCTGTGCAAACAATTTTAAGGTTAAATGACGCTTCGTTGGACTCCAGCTAATTGCTTAAGTTACTATTGTTTCGGTTCGGGTCGCAAAGAGAGGCTAAAGCCCGGATTACTCATCTTGGCAATTATTAAAAACTTAACTAAGTGTAAAGCCTGCTTAATCGCTGAAATTTTGAGTGCTTTACAAGATATTAAAGCTTTACCTGTCCTGGTCTGTGTCTGTGGGTAATCAAGTCTTATAAATTAATTAGACGCTTTTTTATAGCGCTGAAATTAGCATTTCCATGCATAAAATATGATGTTGATGACGTTTATTTACACGTTTTTATCAATATTTTGAGGTGATGTACGAAAACGCCTGTTTATAGACTGGGACTTTTTAATAGTAGGTATTTGTTTACCTACCCTTCTATCAATTAGTGGACTTATAATTTCGCTTTAGCACTGGGAGATCGTAATATGGGTGGTACTTTGCTGAAATTAAAAATTAAACTAAATAAAGCTTCTATGCTAAGTACTTTAATATTAATCCATTAGGTTCTAGGGTTTTCGTCTACGCTAAAAGTTCAAAAGTTTCCCAGTAGGTACATATTTGTCTGATTTGCAAATTGAATTCCAATATATGTACTTGTTCAGAAGTCATAAAGTACAGAATATTTTATATTACCTTACCGTAATAAAGTACATATTTTACGTCCGCTCCAAAAGTCTGCTGATAATAATCGGATTCTTGATCAACCCAGCTCAGGCATGAAAATATCAAAGAACGTCTCGTTTGTAAACTTGATTTTTAATGTACAGTCCGCGCCGAACGTCATTAGAACATTATTACATTTTACATTTTGAAATAAAGATCGACTGCAACATGTTTCACCTGTTCCTTTTCTTTATCTGTCGGAAAACAAACAGTTGAAGGCTGGGTTGCACCATCTTACTTTGAATTTAACAAACGTCAGAAATCTGTCAAACTCCATACATAACACACCGGTTATAATTGTTAAAGTTAGGTGGTGCAACTCGGTCTAAGAGAATGGTAGAGACATCCTAAGGGTGGGTTGCACTATCTTACTTTAACAGTTACTGAGCTCAAAATTTCAGTTAAACCACCAGTCAGACAAAAATTGGGTTGCACCAGTTTGACAAACAGTTAAATGACGTCATATTTAACGGCAACAGTATCCGCCCGATTTTGGCCGGTTATTGTAATAGTTAGTGTCAAATGAACTGTCAACTTGAAATGTCAGTGAAAAGATAATTGTATTTACTTAAAAACTTAATAAAATGACTTTTATTCGTGATATTCTTTGGGAATCCAGCTCTCCTGATGACGAAAGTGATAAAAAATGCAAAAGAAAGATTGTTATCAAACTTAAATTGACCGATTTGGAAAATGAGCTGATGGTGAATTCTTGGACGGATTTTGGATTTCCTAAGGCATGGAACTACAGACAAACGCAGAAAGGGCTCTATGTGCTATCGTAGTAATAGCAGTAGTGCTTCACAAGATAAATCTAAAAGTCAGTAAAAATATTTCTACTGCTAAATTTGACAAAAACTTTACCTTTAACCGCTATTTTGGAGCTACCCACCCTAAGCCTAGTAATTTCATTTTAAATATGATATCGGAACTACGTTGTAGTGAACAGATAGACCACACACCATTAACAAAATGCGCGTCCTATTACATTATTTATTAGCGATACTTAATTTATAAATAGATAACTTTTATTATTATTATTATTTATTTTTTCAGCCAAATGACGTCCACTGCTGGACAATTTATTTATTTTTCTATTTTATTTTACACGAACTAATATATTTTTTCAGTGTTACATGCACTTAGCTACTTTTCATGAGATTATTAAATGATAACGGCGTGGACTGTACTTAGACGCTGTTTTCAACAACATTATTCAACGGTCTTGGTATAGGTGATTACTTCGTGCAAAAATACCTACATTTAACTTTCTTTTTAAAAAGTTTAGAAAATAGAATATAATTGGTTTAGAATATGATGTTAGTTCAAGAAGATTGACGATGGTGGAAGAATTTTCCAATGTGTGAATTAGTTTTTCCATTCGACAGAAAAATGACAGAATTATAATAAACCTTATCATGTGTAACAAAAAAGCCAAAACGTAGGTACAATTTGTGTAATACATACAACATACATATATGTATAAACATGTAGGTACAATATGTAGGTCTGTAGGTACGTACATTTTATAATTGAGTTCACAATATTTTCGCACGTGCAACTCGCCTCG